AAGGGTGCAGGCAGAGGACAGAGAATGCCTGGAGGAAGGGGTCTGTCTTTCTCGGTCCCCAGTGTTTTATTTGAGAAAGCTTTATAAGCACACAAGAAGAAATCTGACAGCGACAAGAAGTGGCTGGGGAGCTGCTCTCGGGTGCGCTGGTGAGGGCTGGTCCCCGATGAGTCCCCGAAGTGGCCCAGCCTGCAGCTTCTCACCACCCCTTCCCCTGCAGGGCACCTGCCAGTCATGCGGCGCCGCGGGACCCAACCTGTGGGCCTGTCTGCAGGTGAGGATAGGGCCGGGGCATATGCGTGAGCACTGGCTGGGAGCGCCTGTCTCTCAGGGTACCTGCCCCAAGCACGGCACTGGCTCCACTCAGCACTCAGGAGGCTGAGGCAGGACAATGGCTGAGAGTTTGAAGCCAGACTGGGCTGCATGGTGAGACCCTGGCTCAAAAAACCAAAAGAGAAAAAGAATTTCTTAAAAGATGAAAAAACCCGCAAAACAAGTGAAGACACTGTCAGGCTGTCAGAGGATGTGGGACCGAGGGCCTCAGGCTGCCACTCGGCTGAGTGGGTGCAGAAGACCCCTGGCTTCTCCCCTACACTGTCAGCATCCATGGGTAGAAAACTGTGCGGCCCAGGGTGCCAGGGCTTGGAACTTAACAGCCCCCAGCAGGAAGTGGGCTGTGGTAGAGGGAGGGCCAGAGTGGCTCTAGGCACCCCCACCTGGTGTGAGTCCGACATTCCATGGGCCGGCAGCGGCTTCCCCTCCTGGTGGGCACGGGTTGACCCTGCTTGAGGCAGTGGGGACGTGCATGGCTGCGTCTGCTTGCTGGCCCAGAGCATACCCTCCCTGTCCCTGCAGGTGTCCTGTCCCTACGTCGGCTGCGGAGAGTCCTCTGCGGACCACAGCACCCTCCATGCACAGGTAGGTTGCAGGCCTGCTGAAGCCAGGCCAGCCATGAGCCCTGGGGCCAGGGAGCGCAGACAGTGGGAGCTCCCGGGCCTCACTCTGCACCTGCCACAGGCCAAGAAGCACAGCCTGACCGTGAACCTGACCACCTTCCGGGTATGGTGCTATGCGTGCGAGCGAGAGGTCTTCCTGGACCAGCGGCTGGCAGCCCCGCCCGAGCAGGTACCCGATGGGTCCACTGTGACCCGCAGTCAGTCTGACTCTGATCCAGGAGCTATCAGGGCACTGAGGTACTTAATGTCCTCGAGAGCTCGCTGAGTCCCACCATGTGTCCTGACCCGTGTGGGGCTAGGGCACACAGGACCCAGAAGTCCAGGTCTGAGGATCAGCATATGAAAACACAGGGAGCAGAGACAGGGGTTCGATCCCCAGGCCTACCGTGCTGGCCACACCCCAAGGGTGTGCTGAGACAGCAATTGAGACTGGGCGTGGTCGTGCGTACCTGTCATCCCAGCTCTTGGGAGGCTGTAAACAGGCAGATCACTATGAGTCTCATCTAGTAGTGAGACCCTGAACACTGTAGACCTTTCCCTAAAATACAAAAAATAAGTAAATAAAATAAAATAGGACAGGGGCTGGTGAGATGGCTCAGTGGTCTAAAGCACCTACTTAGAACAAGCTAAGCTAAGCAAAGCACAGGGACCGCGGTTCAATCCCCCAGCACCACGTGCCAGCCAGCCCCGCCCCCTGGTGGGCTGAGCTGGCCACACACACACACAAAATAAATAAATAAATAAAGTCTTGCAAGAAAAAAATAAAATAAAATAGGACAATCATTGGGGCTGGGGAGATAGCTCAGTAGAATAAGCTGAGTTAAATCTCCAGTTCCTCAAAAAAAAAAAAAAAAAAAAAAAGAAAAGAAAGAATGAAAACTTGGGGGCATCAGGTAGCTACTGGGGGTCCAGATCTAAAGGTGTCACAAGTGGTCCCTGCTGTGTCCCTCAGGTGGGGGAACCACTCAGGTGCCCTGGGGCCAGGCCCCTCTGAGCCAGTGTGGTGGGGGACTGCCATGGGCGGGGTGGATGTGCTCTCCATGTAAGGCTGCCTGGTCGGCCTTCAGTCCGCACGCTTGGGAACATGTGGCACTTTGGAGAAACTGACACACACATAGTAAGAGTTTTAGATGTGGGCTGGTGAGATGGCTCAGTGGTCTAAAGCACCTACTTAGAACAAGCTTTAGCAAAAAACCCAGGGACCACGGTTCGATCCCCCAGCACCACATGCCAGCCAGCCCGCCCCCTGGTGGGCTGAGCTGGCCACACACACACACACACACACACACACACAAATAAATAAATAAAATTAAAAAAAAAAAAAGTTTTAGATGTGCGCATTGGCATGGTTAGTGGTGCTCCTGGAGAAGAGGTTGCATTGTTTATCTTTAGGCTGTTTGTGCACGTGTATCCTAGGTGACAGAAATCATTCATTTTTGCAAATCCAGTCTATGAGGCTGGGATTGCTGGCCCAAATCCGCTCTTTACTGGCTCTGCTGAGGGCCAAGGGCTGGGCGCCCTGTTTCTCACACTGGGTCTCTTGCAGGGCTCCGTGCCGCCCTGCCACCCCCTGAAGGCAGTGCCCATTGCTGTGGCTGACGAAGGGGAGTCGGAGTCTGAGGAGGATGACCTGAAACCTCGAGGTAACAGCATTGAGTGGGCTGCTGGGCCGGGGGCTTGGCATCAGCCCCAGTGGGCGGTGGCCTCACCTGAGGTCCCTGAGGCCTGGCTCCTCTTCACATGGCCTCCATGTGGCTGTGGTGGGAGGTGGCATCCAGCTGCCAGAGATAGTGGGGGTGATGGGACCTGGGGGACAGAGCCCAGCCTGGCCATGTGGTGTGTGAGGTTCTGTCATTGGACGGGGCTGTCACTTCCTGCGTGTCACTCCCCAGGCCTCACAGGCATGAAGAACCTCGGCAACTCCTGCTACATGAACGCTGCCCTGCAGGCTCTGTCCAACTGGTAGGTCACTCTCAGGCCACAAGCCCTCGCCTCCCATAGGGATACATCTGCAGAGGTGACCAGAGAGGTTGTAGGGCTGAGGAGGGAGAGAAGACGGGTATGTAGCCTGGGGGAGCCCACAGAAGGAGCCAGGGGCAGCCGTGACACATGCCACCCCACACGGTTCTGTGCCCACGGCCCAGGCGTCATGGCCGGCAGGCTTCTCCTCGGCCTGCAGGTGGCCATGCTGTCCCACCATCCCCCAAGGTACTTGGTACTTCGCTGTGTGCACACAGCCCTAGTGTCACTGGGCATGCAGGTTTCCTCTTTCCAGGGTACCAGGTGGGAGAGGTTCTTGGCCCAGAGCAACTGTGCCACTCTGGGGACTCTGTCCCCATCTCATCGAGGGACCGGATTAGGACGAGGACATGCACCGTGGGCAGGGGCTGCAGTTTGAAGGGCCGTTGCTGCACCCGCAGCCTTTGCTCCCCTCGCAAGTGCCTGGCTTTCGCTGCTCTGCGTGGTTCGTCCTGACCAGCCACGTCCCCTTCCTCCTCCAGCCCCCCGCTGACGCAGTTCTTCCTGGAGTGTGGTGGCCTGGTGCGCACAGACAAGAAGCCAGCGCTGTGCAAGAGCTACCAGAAGCTGGTCTCCGAGGTCTGGCACAAGAGGCGGTGAGCGCCCGGGTCCTGGCCGGGGGTGCGGGGGCTGGGGTTTACTCGCCCCTGGGCTGAGCACCTCCGGCGGGATGCGCCCCACGGGCGTGTGCGTGCAGCTGGCCCCGTCTTCGCAGGGGAACTGAGGGGCAGGGAGCTATGAGTCTTGTTCATAGCCGGGAATGGCGGCACACATCTGCAGTCTCAGCACTCGGAGGCTTAGGCAGGAAGATCATCACCCCGCAGAGGCCAGTCTGGAATGCAAAGTCACAAGAAAATGTGGTGTTTAAAAAAAAAGTGTCTTGCCCACAGTCACACAGCTTGGAGCCAGCTGTGGACGGAGCTAGAGTGGGGCCCTGGGTTGAGCCCAGCTGGCAGCCCATTTTCAGAAGTCAGGCTAGACCAGGCCGCTGGGTCACTCAGTGGGTGGGCACCGAGAGCCCAGACAAGGTGGGTTGCAGACCACAGCTTGGGGGATCTTCTCGCAGGGAACACGGCTGGTGGGAAGAGCCAGTGAGCGTGTATGGGTGTGTGGCGCGTGCCAGAGGGTGAACGCGGCGCTGTGGCACACAGGGCGCAGGGGCCAGGAGGGCCAGCTGCCAAGTCAAGGCCAGCCTGGCAACTCAGGGAGACCCCGCCTGGAATTAAACAAAACAATAGGCCCCGGGGGTGTCCCTCAATGGCAAGCACTCACCTAGCATGTGTGAGGCCCTGGGTTCTATCTGCAGCACCCCAGGAAGATGACGGCATAGCCACTTGGTCCCTGTACTTGTATTTTTGCAGAAAATTCTAGATGGTATGCGCTTTTAGGTTTTTTGTTCTGTTCTGTTTTGTTGAGACAGGGTGTGTCTGTGGAGCCCAGACTGGCCTTGAACTCACTGTAATCCTCCTACCTCAGCCTCCTGAGCGCTGGGATCACAGGCACGCACCACCACGTCCAACAGACAGATTTTAAATAAAGAGCTGGCCTTGCTCTGGAAATGAGAGCCACAGTAAACGTTTTACAGGAAAGATGGAGGCAGTGTCACCTTCTGCCCCTGGGCTGTGTGGCCCTCATTCGCTCCTGGCCAGGGTGGTCCCCACGGCTGACCTGATCCAGCCTTACTGGGCATGCACACCCCAGCGTCACGGCTCAAGGTGGAGCGCTGGGGCCCATGGACGGTGTCTCCCCACAGGCCAAGCTATGTGATCCCCACCAGCCTGTCTCACGGGATCAAGTTGGTGAACCCGATGTTCCGCGGCTACGCCCAGCAGGTAGGCTGTGAGCTGCCGCGGCCAGGCAGGGCCAGCTGTGTGCCGCAGCGCAGGCAGCCCAGTCCCACGTCTGCAGCGAGCAGCACGGGTGGTCCAGTGGGGCGGTGGGCTGGGCCTCAGGTTCCTGCTCACAGCCTGGGTCACAGCGGCACCAGACCGTGAGCAGGATCACAATTCTATTAAATGAAAATGTGAATTACAGTAATTGTTTAGCCTGGGAGAAAGCCATACAGGCCAGGCATGGTGGTGCACGCCTGTCATCCTAGCACTCAGGAGGCCGAGGTAGGAGGACACCAAAAGTTTGAGGCCAGCCTGGGCTATCTAGTGCGTTCAAGCTCAGCCTGAACTATATAGTGAGACTTAATACCAAAAAAAAAAAAAAAAAAAAAAAAAAAAGCCATATATTTCTGATTTATAAAATCATGAGACCTGGTTGGACATGCTGGTCCACACCTGTCGTCCCAGCTCTCTGGGAGGCTCAGGCAGGAGGATCACAAGTTTGAGGGCCAGGGAGATGGCTCAGTGGAATAAGTGCTTCCCTGGCAAACGCGAGGGCCTGAGTTCAAACCCCGGTTCCACAAAAAAAAAAAAAAAAAAAAAAAAGTTTGAGTTTTTTTTTTTTTATTTTTTTTTTTTTTTTTTTTTTTTTTTTTTTTTTTTTTTTTTTTTTTTTTTTTTTTTTTTTTTTTTTTTTTGTAGGAAAGGTTTATTTTTTGGTTTTGGTGCTGAGAACCAAACCCAGGGCTTCCAGCTTACTAGGCAAGCGTTCTACCACTGAGCCTAATCCCCAGCCCCACAAGTGTGAGTTTAACCTGGGCAACTTAGTGACTTAGCAAAACCCTGACTAAAAATGAGAAATGAGAAAAGCACTAGACAGGAGGGTCATTGTGAATTTGAGACCAGCCTGGGCTACGAAGTGAGCTCAAGGCCAGCCTGAACTGCATAGCCAGACCCTGTCTCCAAAAAGACCAAAAAAAAAGCAAACCAGAAGAGCTCTGGGAATGTGCTCAGTGCGAGGGCCCTGGACTCGGTGCCCGCACCTCGTGCGCTCAAGCACGCACGCACACCACGAGGCCAGGGCGAGGCGGGGCAGCCATGTGCAGGTCAGCCAGCCCCCGTGGTCCCAGGGTCCAGCTGGCCGCATGGCTGCTGGCAGTGGAGCCCGTGGCAGGAGCTGGGCCTGCCCGTGCTCCCCGGGCTGCTGCGTGCGGGGCCCTGGCAATGGCAGGGGCTCTGCTGCCACCGCATCGCTACTCACGCTTGGAGGAGCAGGTCCTGGCCTGCCTGGGAGCCCCTCCAGGGCAGTGGCAGGGCCCCCTGCCTATATGAGGGGACTCTGGTACCACCCTGCTCACGGTACGGAGCTGAGACTCGTCTCCCAGCACCTGGGGCGGGCACAGGGTCGGGCGGCACGGAGCTCTCCTGTCTGTCACGTGGTATGGCCTGGCTCCAGAGTGGGCGCCCTGGTGGCTCTAGTGAGGACACCGCCAAGGGGCTGTGTTGTGTAGACACGGTGCGACGGGATCCGACTCCAGGAGAAGCCTCCTTCTCCCTGGCTGTGTACTCGCTCGGACGAGGCTGGACCTACAGTGTCGGCTGTGGGCCTCTTGGTGGCAAAGGACACTCCCGTGCCCCATGGAGAAGGAGCACAGTGCTGTGTGCGTGTGCGCATGTGGGGGAGGCATTGGGCCTTGCACCCCAGTCCTTTACCCTGAGCTACATACCTAGACCTGCTTAAAATTTTGAGATAGGGTCTTGCTAATTTACCCAAGCTGCACTCAAACTTGGCCCTCCTGCCTCAGCTTCCCAGAGTGCGGGTCTCACAGGCGTGTGCCCCTACACCCAGCCAGGGTGTCCCCAAAGCTATTAAAGGCGGAAAATGGCTGCTGTTTCTTACCAGCACCCTCCCCAGTGTGTGGCTTGGGACACCTGCCTGCCCACCTCCCTCTGTGCGCTGGCTGGCGGCTGATGGCCGGTGACCCTGACCTGGCCCAGCAGGGTCTGTCCCGGGTTCTCTTGGTGCTCAGGCAGCCATGCTCCTCGCTTAAGCAGGGGCTGGCTTTCCAACCCCGTGGCCCCCATCTCAGTGAGCTGTCAGGGCCACCTCGTGCCCTCGGCTGTCATCGCGGCCTTTCTGAGCATGTGCCTTGAGCACAGCCTGTGCAGCCGTGTCCTCGCCAGCAGGGACAGTGGTGTGTGTCCCCAGTGTCCCCAGTGTCCCCAGTGTCCCCAGCGCGGTGCCCTTGCAGGACACCCAGGAGTTCCTGCGCTGCCTCATGGACCAGTTGCACGAGGAGCTCAAGGAGCCCGTGGTGGCATCCATGGCCGCGCTGACAGAGGCCCGGGACTCGGACTCCAGTGACACGGATGAGAAGCGGGAGGGCGACCGCAGCCCCTCAGAGGACGAGTTCCTGTCCTGTGACTCCAGCAGCGACCGGGGTGAGGGCGACGGGCAGGGCCGCGGCGGAGGTGGCTCGCAGGCTGAGGTAGAGCTGCTTGCGGCGGAGGAGGCCGGCCCCGCCATCTCAGAGAAGGAGCGCCTGAAGGACCGCAGGGGCGCCTGGGGCCAGCAGCGTAGCAGCTCGGAGCAGGTGGACGAGGACGCCGATGTGGACACGGCCCTGGCTGAGCAGCCGTCCGAGGGCCAGCCGCCATCGCCACGGCCCCGCAGCCCTTGCCGGACTCCAGGTAGCAGAGCGCACCTGCACTGCGACCTTCCTGGGGGCAGTTTTGCCACCAGCCCTGGCCCCTTGAAGAGGGACCCCCTTGCCCAGAGCTGGGGCCCCAAAGGCTCAGCCTTCGGGAGGAAAGGGGCACTCAGTTCGCTTGTTCGTGCAGGGTGGGTACAGGACAGTGCTGGTGCGGGAACCCCAGCCTAGCTGCCCAGTCCAGCACTGTCCCTTCTCTGTCCCCAGAGCCTGACAACGATGCCCACATCCGCAGCCCCTCTCGTCCCTGCAGCCCGGTTCACCTCCACGAGGGCCATGCTAAGCTGTCTAGCAGCCCCCCTCGTGCGAGCCCTGTACGGACAGGGCCATCCTACGTGCTCCGGAAAGGTTGGTCTGGGCCGGGGCTACGGGCTGCCAGGCCTGGTGGGTGGATTCCCTGGGAGGTGAGCAGGGTCCCCTGTGTTAAACATGAGCAGCTGGTGTGTGTCCCGCAGGCTCCCAGCGCCTGTGCATGTCCCAACTGGGGTAGGGGTAGGGCGCCATGTGTCCCCTGCTCTGTCCCCAGCCCAGGTCTCAGGCAGCCGGAGGCGGAAGGAGCAACGCTACCGCAGTGTCATCTCTGACATCTTCGATGGCTCCATCCTCAGCCTTGTGCAGTGTCTCACCTGTGACCGGGTGGGTAGCCCTGCCCTCCCTGGAACCAGCCTGCTAGCTGGGCTGGGCCTGTGATGCTGACCTCTGGCCCCCACAGGTGTCCACCACAGTGGAGACGTTTCAGGACCTGTCGCTGCCCATTCCTGGCAAGGAGGACCTGGCCAAGCTGCACTCTGCCATCTACCAGAACGTGCCGGCCAAGCCAGGCACCTGCGGGGACAGCTATGTGGCCCAGGGCTGGCTGGCCTTCATCGTGGAGTACATCCGACGGTACGGGGGTGCACGGGTCCCCACTGTCCTGCAGGGATGCGGTGGAAGGAGCCTGTGGTCTCCAATGGGGAGTTGCTGGCCACTTGGGGACAGCAGACCCTAGGTTGATGAAGGTGAAGGGCAGGTGACAACCAGAGGGACCTTGCCAGCCAGCACTGGATGAGGCTGGCAGGGCTGGGAGGTGGTGGCCCTTGCCCAAGCCTCCTCGCCAGGCTGCACCTCGGGCTCGGGCCTGGCCTCCAAGCGCCTTCCTGCTCGGGCCCGGCAGCTGCACTCTCTCTGTAGGTTCGTGATCTCCTGCACCCCCAGCTGGTTTTGGGGGCCTGTGGTCACCCTGGAAGACTGCCTGGCTGCCTTCTTTGCTGCTGATGAGCTGAAGGGTGAGGCTGGGCTGGCAGGAGGAACCCTGGGAGGACTCGGCTTTGACTTCCCATATTGATGAGTTTGAATGGTGGTTAAATGGTGCAGCCTCAAAATTCTCCTTCTGTCTCCTTTTCTTATGTTATTAAATTAGATGCTCAGCATCTTACTTATCTTTGAAAAGTAAAACTCCTTTCAATTATTATTATTATTA